TGACTGAGATACTTCACTCAGCATAATGTCCTCCAGGGTCACCCATTTTGAATAATATTGCATGAGTTCCTTGTTTTTCAATGCAGCATAGTATTCCATTATGTGATTATACCACAGCTTCTCTATCCATTCGTTTGTTGATAGGCACTTAGGTTGTTTCCAACTCCTAGCTATTGTGAACAAAGCCATGATAAACATAGGTGTGCATATATCTGCTTAGGTGGCAGTTAGAGTCTCTTTGGGGTATATTCCCAATAGTGGAATTGCTGGGTCAAATGGTATCTCTATTTGCAACTTTTTGAAAAAGCGTCATATCGCCTTTCACAGTGGTTGCACCATTTTACGCTTCCACCAACAGTGAATAAGGGTTCCAGTTTCTCCACAACCTCGCCAACATTTGTTGCTTGCTGTTCTGTTAAATTTTGCTATTTTTACTGGGGTGAGATGATGTCTCGTAGTTGTAGTACTTGTCTTTTCTGTGACTGAGATATTTCACTCAGCATAATGTACTCCATTGTCACCCATTTTGTAGAATATTTCATGAGTTCTTTGTTTTTCAGCGCTGCATAATGTTCCATTGTGTGAATATACCAAAGCTTCTCTATCCATTAGTTTGTTGATGGGCATTTGGGCTGTTTGCAGCTCTTTGCTATTGTGAACAAAGCAGCAATAAACATGGGTGTGCAATGCACCATATTTCTACGGGATAATGTTGCCTGACATTAACAGAGAAACTGAATTGAGTGGAACCCTTAACTTTATGTGAAGGCTGCCTCCTTAATATTCCTGGTATCTCCTGAGTACTCTGTTGAGGGCTCCACCAATGGGTGCTGTCTTCACAGTAAATAGGAGAGAATTTTCTGTGTGTCCCCCCCAGAAGAGGAAGAGAGAACAGCAGCACAGTCCTTGCATGTACTTAGAAAACCTGATCCCGAAACTTCTTATCAGCAGCTGATGCTTCGGCTTCCTGTTGAGAGAACAGGGTTTGGTTTTGTTTTTAAAATAATATTATATTGGCCTTACTGATTCTGTCAGCAGTTTGTGGACATGGTTTCTGTGAAATGTTTTTTTCAAGGGATCAGTTTGTAAGTAGATGCCTCCCTTATGTGCTCTCTGAGAAATAATTCAAGACCCTTTAGTTAAGTAGATGTGTGCATGTCGAATATTTCAGTAAATGTCCTGATTCCCTCAGAGAACCATCTCAGGAGACCTGCTCTGTTATACCTTACTCTTGGGCTGTAACTTGTAGTTAATTATTTTTTTAGCTGCTTGTGAGTTCTTTTTAGTCTGTATTGGTATTTCTAGAACCTAAAATATTCTAAAGAGAACTAAAACAAACTGATTAGTCAGGGTGGTGGGACATTTCCCTTGGAACTGGGCAGCTTATATCCCTGGAATTTATTGTTTCTGTCTTATTCCAGATTGAAAAAAAATAAGAAAATATGATTACTCTTTATTGAATGGGAGAATCTGAGGCAGATCCTCACTTACACTTTAAAATTTGTAGTCTTGGAATTAGCTTTCTCTCTTCCTATATCTGTATTCTGCATTTTTGTCTTAGTCTGTATTTACTTCGTGTACCTCTTGTATACCTGAAATGAGTCGAGGGTAGAAGGAAAGGAGCTGACATTTATTGAACACCTGTTGTGTGCTAGATATTGAACTGGAGACTTTAGCAGTATTCTATCAGCTTATAGGAATAGTAATTATGATTCATGTCTTATAGATGATAAAATGGAAATCTTAATCTCTCCAGCCTCACCTCACTATGGTGGATAATGGATTCTAGAATTTTGCTTCATGCCTCCTTTGTCATCTCAGTTTTAGAAGAAGCTGTGATATGGCTTGATACATAGAGATAAAGCATGTGTGTGTGTGTGTTTTGTTTTGTTTTTTAAAATTTTTATTTTATTATTTTCTCTGTGTACCGTCAAATTGGATCTGACTGGTACAGGAGGAGATGGCCCCTCCTTCTCTGGTAAAGCATCTGGTGGATTCGAACCGCATATCTTTGGGATTGCAGTGCAGCTTCTTCGTCTGTTTCTATAGAGATTACAGCCTTGGCAAACCGAGGGGGCATTTCTCTTCTACAAGAGCCGCAGCTATTGTCTCTTAAAGTTGACTCTTTTGAGGATTACGTTCCTAAGGTGTGTTGTTGTTCACTTTATAGGCCTGTCTATTGCGTGTAAAAGGTGATCTGCAAGTGGGTTCAGGTCTAGATGTGAAGGGTGCTTAAAGGCCATAGTCCTGCAGATTCCACGATTTTTTACTAGATCAGTAAGCCTGGTTTTGTTTACAGTTTTAAATTTGGTTCTACATTTTTTTTCCCACTCAGTTCAGGGCTCTCATACTTGAGCATCATCTTGTACTTTTGGTCTGAGGTTGGTGGATACTGATTAGTCCTTGGTACTAATTATTTCCTGGAGTCTGATCGCTCTTCACTCTTCTTTGTTCTGTTCAGGGAATAGACCAGTAGTAGTATCTTAGATAACTAACGGCTTTCAAGACTGAAGGTACAATGTGTAGGACATTGTCTTTGTAGCTCATGTTATGCCATTTGACCTAGATTTTTAAAGTTCAAATACATATGTGGAAATATCTTCTGCCAGACTTATAAACTGTCCTGTTCTGTGTGTTTTCATATCTGCCTATGGAGCAGCAATGGTATTAGGTGTCTTTGTATTACTCAACCTGATCGTAGGCCATCCTCACAATATCGCCATGTTTAATTAAGCTGATTGTCGCAGTCATTGTGTTAGTCTGTCTTGATGAGGATCGTCCTCTTTTTGACAAGACTGGTGTCTGTCTCTAGGGCCTGAGCCCTTCTAATGAGCACTCCAGACTATCTTGCCAAGACAGATATGTTGGTATTTTTCACAGACTGTCCTTTAATCCTCTGCAACACCACAATTAAAAGACATCATTTCTTCTTCGATCTTTCTTACTCATTGTCCAGCTTTCACATGCATGTGAAGCAATTGAAAATATGTATCAGGTGAATTCTGGTCTTTAAAATGATATAGTTTCTCTTTAGCACTTAAAAAAGTCATTGGCAGCAGATTTGTCCAAGCTAATACACCTTTTGATGTTTTTGTTATTGTTTCCATGGGTGTTGACAGTGAAACCAAGAATAATAATTATTGACTGCTTTAATTTTTCCCCCCTTAATTTATTTGAATATTAATATTGGGCCAGTTGTGATAATTTTTGTTTTCTTGATAATTGCCATTCTGAAGGCTGTTATTTTTGATCTTCAGTAAATATTTCAAGAACTTTTTACTTTGAGCAGACAGAGTTGTATTATCTGCATACTGCAGGCTATTGATGAGTCTTCCTCCAATCCTGATGCCAAATTCTTCTTTGTGAAGTCCACATTCTAGGATTATTTATTCAGTGTACACATTTAATGGGTGTGGTGAAAGGATACAATCCTGATTCAAAGATTTCAGACTTTAAAGTCTGTTTTATTCTCTTGTTTTGAGTAGCTGCTTTGTCTGTGTAAAAATTGTACATGAGCACAATTAAGTGTTACAGACTTTCTATTCTTCTTAGTGATATTTATAGTTTATTATGATCCACAGAGTCCTTTGCATAGTCACTAAAGCACAAAGAAATTCTTTTCTGGTATTCTTTGCTTCTAGACAAGATCTATGTCAGTAATAATGTTCCTTGTTCCATGACCTCTTCTAAATTCAGCTTGTACTTCTAGCAGTTTTACTGCTCCAACCATTTTTGGATAATTTTCAGCAAGATTTCAGTTGGGTGTGAATCATTTTCTGCTGTATCACCTTTTTGTTTTGCTTTGTTTTTTAGTGGGCAGAAATATAGTTCTCTTCCTGTCAGTTGGCCAGGTAGGTGTATTTGACATTTCTCGGTCAAGGTAAAGGAACTTGTCCAAAGTTGCGTCTGTTTGTTGAAATATGGTAGTATTTCAATTGGTTTCCCATTAATCCCTGGAGCTTTATTTTTCTGTGTAGGCTAGACTCTTTCCAGTGGTAGTGGTAGTAGTAGTGGTGGTGGTAGTTGTTGTTTTTGATCGAATGGTACCTTATGAAATGACTGCACACCAACTAATTCTTTTAAGTATAGTGACAGTGGATTCTTCCATCTTCTTTTGATGCTTGCTGTAGCATTCAGTATTTTGTCCATAGAATCCTTGAATTTGTTCTTCAGTTCTTTGAGCTTGAGATATGCCAGTTTCTTCTTTTTTTGCTTTTCTAACTCTAGGTCTTTTCATTTTAGTACTTTGTCTTTTGGAGCTGTCCTTTGAAATCATCTCAGAACTCTCTTCATCTTTTGTTACTTTTGCTTTACCCTCCCTTCAAGAGGAGGTTTCAGAGTTTCGTCTTCCATTTTGGCCTTGTTTTGACTAACGACACTCAGCTTCTTCAGTGTCCCTTTCCACAGATACAGTTGATTCACTTTTTTCTGGCAAGGTCCATGTGTATAGTTGCCACTTTTGCTTTAAAAAATTAAAAAAAAAAAAAATAAAAATTTTTTTTTAAAAGTACTGTTTTATGAAGCGATGTAAACTGGCATAGTTTTGTTAAGGTGTCTAATACCTTTTACTCTTTTCTAGTGATCCTTTGAATACCTCTTTGCCAATGACCAGTGCTGTGCAGGACTCCACCTATACAACTTCTGTCGTTACTTCCTCCAGTCTGACCAGCTCATCTGTGAGCCCGACTAGTCCGGTAACAACCTCTTCCTCCTATGACCAGAGTTCTGCACACAACAGGACCGTGTACCAAAGCTCCGGGAGTCCGCCCGAGGCAGCCGCAGGGGCTGTCCTGGTAAGAGCAGCTAAGCTTTCCACTCCAGAAAAATCTGCTGGGTGACTCTGTATGCGAGTTGAAAATTAAAACCTTGGGAAAAGACATTCCTTATAGAGATTGGGTAAATTTCTAAAACTGTAAGATTGACAGTTTAATAGGAAAAACATACTCATTTTGGTTAATTAGCTCAACTGATTTTGTTATCTTTGTTTTATTTTGCACTTGTACAGTAATATTTTAAAAAAACTCACACTAGTAAGAGTTGAACCTATTTGCTTCATGGGAACTAAAATATGCTGAGCTTTCTTCCTATCTCTTCTCAGCTGTTTAGTACCTAATTCTACCTTCCTGTCTACCTCAGTTAAATTTAGCTCATGTTAGGCTTCTCTTCCCCATTGACAACCATGTTATGGGGACCGCATTGTTAGCATTAATCCCTCCTGCATGTGGATCTCTGGTTTCTTAGTGGTTAGGAGTTTGGGCTGCCAACACAAAGGTATGTGATTTGAATCCATCAGCTGCTCCCGGGACAAAGATGGTTGGTTAGTCTCCCCCTGTGTGATTAACTGCCTCTGAAAACCTGCTGAAGGGTTTTAGGTCGCCTGTGAGTTCTTTCTGACTCAACAGTACACAGCAGTGGATGGATACTATTCTCCCTTGGGCAGTCCCTGTCCTGGATTCTGCTGCCCTTGAAGTTCTCTCCTCTCCTCTCCCATCGCACTATCACTGTACTCTACCGCTTGCATGCAGCATGGCCTTGCTTGCAATCTTTCTAACAATTGCATCATCTTTCCCCTTTCATTTTAAACTATACAATTTAAGGAGACATATTTTATATGGAAAGTAACCCTATCCCGCCCCACTCCTGGTTCTTCTGTCCCTTAATGAGGAAGGGATAGGTCCCATTATCTTGATTTTCTGTGCTGCTTTCTCAGTGACATGCTGAACATGTTTCTGTTACTTAATTCTCCAGCCTTGTTTTTCATTTAACTCACCACGATGGAATAATAGTATTTAACTATCTTTATCACTGTCCGCTTTCCACTCCTATCTTCTGACAGTTTATGGAGGATTATTGTTTTGCCTTAAATGTTTGGTAGAATTAACCAGTGAAACAATCTGGGTCAGGACCTTTCTTTATTGAAAGGTTTACAATTATA